GATAGTGCCACATGATCGCCCGCACGTGCCATCGTGTGAGAATAATAGCATAAGCTCAGGGGCGTCGCAACCAGGGGGGGGGGGGGGTGTCTTGGCTCGCAACGGCCCTGAATAAACTGGGCTGTTTGGTTCTTTCAATTCACAGCAAGAAAGCCCCAGTTGATGTTAATCCTACACCTATTGCTTTTTTAACTGTAAACGCTCCTCAACGCTTCTAGCTATTTCTTGCTACGTAAAAAGTAAACGGTTGCCATGTCTTTCAAACTTGGTTCATTTGCTCCTTAGCCTTCCTGATTTGAATTTTGATGCATAAATTTTACCAGGAAAATTGCTGTACGACGGTTGGGATGTCCCTGGATGACATTGATGTTAAATAAGTTGCAAAGGAGTTCTGCCAGAAAACAGAACAGCTTAGAAATTATTTTGGATTTTAAAATGCAATAGTATTTGTTTTCCATTAGATGAAATAAACATTGCCTTAGCAAGCTTGCAACCTGAAATGATTTACGTCTGTCATAATCTAGTATGTCTCTATGGTCTACCAGAGCCCTTGGATACGTTAATTTATCATCTGGCTAAAAAAATTTGGCGGCAAGGCTTATTATAATATAAGCCAATCTAGACGGTGCAGTAGCAAAATGTTTCCGGGAAGTGCCCCCAGAGTCCCCTAACCCATCACTCGTTTCGCTCGCCTGCCAAATTAATGCTCCCAGAAAAAGTCTGTCCCCTTTGCCCTGACATGCTTCCGGCATCGCTGCAGAAATCTCATAATTTTTTACATTCTTTTCCAACTCCAGGAAACGATTCCATATTCTTCAAAGACCGACTTAAAATTATTGGGGTGATCACTCCATGCAACTCGCGTTGTCAACCACATGCACCACCGCAACAGACCATTCTTGAACCATGGTAACCAAACAAACTGAAATTCTGAGAAGTGTTTTTCAGTTGGAAGCCCAGGCTGCCAATCAACTAGAGAACGTTTAAAAAGAATTGTTTCTCCTGAGGGTTTCTTTTGCTACGTACATTGGCGTGAAGATATTAGTGTAGGCGAGTCTTTTAACAACTTGAGTATGGCAAATATTGAAGAAATCATTACATGTGGCATATGTCTCGGAAGGATGATTAACCCGCGGATGTTACATTGTCAACATTCCTTTTGTCTCAATTGTCTGGCGAGTATTTTTGCAACTAAATACATCGAGAAAAAGACCGATGGACATGATGTGAAGGTTGTTTTGCCCGATATTCTTATAGACATCTGGACTAAAAGACAATATTTGCAAATCAAGTGCCCATTTTGTAACGTAGAGAATCGCTACACTGGGAATTTGCTCCATTCTGCCTTGCCAAGGAGCCTGATTGTGACACAGTTACAAACAGGAATTCCCCCACAACAAGATGACCAAGAGCAACACAAGTGTCGTTATTGTGAGGAGTCAAAAATGTCTTTATACGAATGTTGTGAATGCGATCATATGATTTGTGAAAGTTGCTTTAATTCTGCCCTTGGAGAAGTATGTAGAGTGGGTTTACATTTTGTTTTGAAGCGCCAAAACAATCTTTCACTGTGTCTGAACCACAGTATAGAGCTGACGTACCATTGTAATACTTGCAACCGTCCGCTTTGTTGTGACTGTTTCATTCAAGACCATGGACAGCATGATGTTGTCAAGATTTCTGAAGCTGGTAAGAAATATTGTTTTTATTAGATATCTCGAGAAGTTTTATAGCATTCAACTCCTTTATTAACAAGCAAGCACGTTTTGGTTGGAAGAATTCTGTGTTTTGCTGGGGAGACGAGCCAACATTGTTTGAAGGACCGTTAGTTTTTAAAAATTGTATGCACATGCGAAGTAAAAGTAAATGTCGTTATTTTCACACCGCCTAGTATACTCTGTGTTAGGAACATTTCATATCATATCATATATCATATCAAAATACATATCTAGACTCGATCTGTATGTCGACTAGACAAACACTGGGTCACATAAGAATTTTCTGTCTCCACAATAATTGTCCAGTTTCTGTTTGAATAAGTTCAATGATTTGGCATCTACCACATCTTTTGGAAGACGGTTCCATTCATGCGCAACCCTGACAGTGTAGGCGCGCTTCCCAACATTGTTGTTATATCTTTCATTAAAGATCTTTAGTCCATGTCCCTTTGTTTTCCCATTGGTGTCCATTTTGAACACAGACTAAACGAAATAGCAGCCGTGTATATATTTGTATGTTTAAATCATGTCCCCACGGAACCTTCGGTAAATTAAACTTGGACGACTCTTTAGTCTCTCTTCGTATCCAAGATCTTTTTGTCCTGGTACCGTCTTGCTTTCTCTCCTCTCAACATTTTCGATTAATTTTATGCCTTTTTTGTAGTAAGGGGCCCATATGATGTTACCATATTCCAAGTGTGGTCTGACCAAGCTTGTAAATAAGGTTTTGAAAATGTCCATGTCCTAAAATTCCATTTGCTGTCTTGGACACTCTATCTATATGTGAGCGAACCTTCAACTCGTTATCTATGTACACTCCTAAATCTTTCTCGCATTCAGTTGATTCAAGTGTAACATTTGTGGCACTGTGGCCATTAGCCTGTCTTGTAAAAAAGACGGAGAAGATTTGGAATGAGAAAAGAAGTATCACGAGAAGAATGAGAAAGAAACTCGGGTTTATATATCAGGGCCGGTGTATTTGAAAGTGGGTGAGCCAAAATATTGAAACCGTGGACGGTTTAGTTAAGGTTGCCACCAGTACAAGGTTGGCGACAAGAGAAATTTTTAAATATGGTGTTCTAGGAATAGTCAGAAACTGCATCATAAATAGAATTTGAATAAAGTTATCAAGCTTTCTTTTGCCACTATGTTCCATAAAGGAGCGTACGAGCGCAAACTCGTGTTACCCCCGTCCAAGTGGGTGGAACTTTTTAAAAAACAAATTCGTCCTGTAATGCGAGGTAACGAGAGAGTACGCGATGGCTTTTTGTATGAGTGTCAGTTGATTTAGGCACAAAAACATGTAAATGTTGTATCCAAGTCGCTTCCACTGCAAGATCTAAGCAGGCATCAACACTGAGTAGTTTTAAACATTCTATTTAGTGAACATTTTTGTATATTATTTTATGTAAATATGTATCCTGCTAGAAAAAAGGGTTTTAAAATTATGGCTTTTTAAAGTATTATTAATTTCCTCTTTATTCTTAAGTTGTTGTCACAAACTTCTGCAACACATTTTGTCAATCCAACTCTGTGGCATATAATTCGCAACTTTCATTTTGATATGATAATAACGGACTTTCCTAATAGTTTTGTCAAATCTGTATATTGGGGCGGGCAAAGGGATATAGTTGCTACCCGAGGCGCCACCATGGTTGCAAGAAAATTCTTTTCGAATTTTGATGCTTCCAGTTCCCTGGAAAATGCACTCTTTTTAAGCAAATTTCTAAAATGATCCTCCTAATCCTAATGATAATTTTTTATTTTTGCAAATAAAATAAACAGCGGATAAAAACAACTGGTACTACCTCGTCGTAGTTTTGAAATGTTCCATGTTGTCAGTTACTTCTAACGCTAGGTAACAAGCAGCACTGGTTGTCAACTTATCTTTCCATCGTAGCATGTCTTTTGAATGTTAAAAAAAATCTGAAGTCATTATGAATTGCAGTTGACGTATCTGAAGTCATTATGAATTGCAGTTGACGTATCTACCGAGAAACTTTCGGGGAAATCGACATAAAACACAATTTTAACTAAAGAGGGCCTAGATTTTTTTCAAAATTCAGTGCCACCAACAAATCTTCAAATCTTCAAATCATTAGTTTGTTTTACCTTCTTTCATATCAAGGAAAATCATATTTAACCAACGGAGAATCTATCTTTGCTTGTGTCTTTATTGATTTTAAGATATGAAGGTCTCTTAAAAACCTAAAGCGTTTCTTCCACTGGGCAGAATTTACCTAAAATTTCCTTACGAGATGCTTTTGGTGGGGTGTGACACTCTCCACTCCCCCACGGTCGCGACCACATCTAAGAAATGTCCAAAACATAGCCTTACTGTACATTACGTATTCTTTTATGTAATGTGAGGTTTGTCCCAGGGATGTAGTCGTAAAATTTTCATAAGGGGGCTCTGTGAAATTTATAATTTGTTCTTGTCACGTAATCATTGAAATTTGAACATGAAGAGGGTTGATGTTTTTTCCGAATCATTGGTTATGCAGCCAGGTAAATTGACTGTTTGGAGGGCAGCTGAGACCAGGACAGCAATACAATGAGAATTGCGGGGGGGGGGGGGAATCATTGCAAGTTGGGGGCAAAATATTTTGCTCAGGGGACTAGTGAAAGCCCCCACCATGGTTTGTGGTGACAACATTTTTGAGATATGACACTTTAAGAATGGCCAGAAAAAGCATTTGAAATATTCACAGCATCGATAAGGAAATACCTTTTTTTAATAATAACAACCAATTGGTTGGATTTTGAATCGACACACTTCCTCTCATGTTAACAAAACAAAGGAGATTTTATCAGGTAATGAACAGTGCTACTAAAAATGTCATGCAAAACTGTTATTATGTGGACTTAGAACAAAACATTTTTCTTAGAACACTTAGAACAAAACAGTGGACTTAGAACAAAGCATTTTTCGAAGATTTCAAAAGGGGTGCTGTGCCCCTGAGCCCCCCACTACATTCCTGGTTCGTCCCCTTTAAATGTATAATACAAATCTGTAATTTCTGTAATAGAAATTCATCATTGCACATCTTTCAATTCATCACTGCACTTTTTCGATTCATCACTGCACAAATTGGTCATCACTGCACCTTTAATTTATTCTTGCTCTCCACAGTCCTACTTGAGGTTGTCTTGTAGCGTGGTAGACGGAAACTATATCATCAGAAAGTTTATATACCCAAGGCCAATGCATACTTGTACGCTTGTTGCTTTGGCTGTATAAAAGACACAATGTAGTGCTTACTCGAGCACTGCTACAATGAACGCAAACAACATAATTGTGCAATCTGTGTCAAAAACAAAAACTCAAGATGCATCGAAAAGGCGTATTTCATTTAATCAAGCTTCAGTGTCCCATAGTTTGGTACCCTGTTCCACGGCACATCCTCATCCAGTAATAAAGAATAGACATTTGGCTTTGCAATAGACATTTGATAATTTGGATAAACTCTTTTGTGGTAATTTTGAAATATGGAAAATCATTAAGTGGTAAAATGTCATTATGAAATATAATGTAACATCTAAGCCACTTTTAGGGTCTCACTTTCACGGATTGCACATTTGTAAACTTGAAATATTTAACATTTTTCATTGAATTTATCCTCAATTTTAGAAAAACAAATACGAAAGAAACTTGAGATGTGCAAATCAATTTCAGATATTAACGTATCTAACTTTCAAAGTTTGGAGAAGGAGATACAGAATTATAAGTACAGCATCGATAGAGCTGCTGGAGCTACTGTGGATAGAATAAAGCAACAGGAGCTGGTTTTTTTTGGGATTATTACATCTCTTTTCAAAGAGATGCAAGAAGAAATATTCAACAAGACCAAACTCGCTAAAGAAATTGCAGACACATTATTGTCGCAGCTGAAAAATGAAAGCAACCAAGGACGTAAAGACAAGATTTATGAATTTTGCTCTGAGCTAGAGGGCAAAAGAATGTCAATAGAAAGGCAATGGGGAAAGGCTTCTTTTTTTTGGCAGCATTGCATTGTGGAAGAAGATAATATATTGTCTATTGAGCAGGAATTTGAGAAGTTGAAAGAGGAAAAAATGTTGGAATGGGATTCTGAGAGCATTGTGAATTTCATATCTGCAGTGTTAATTTATGTCAAAGAAAAAAATTTTGAAAAATATGCCTGCAATGAGTTGCATGGAAACCAAACTCTTAAGAAGTTTTTCAGTCCAAACTCAGCCAGAAGTGATTCTACTTCATCAATTAGTGGAAAAGAAATAAAGAACGAAATAAAGGTATTTCTGGTGCTACTGACACATTTGTAAATGATTTATTTCACAATTATTTCGCGTTTAAATCATGAATTTACCTTTGGTTTAGTCGGCTTTAGAGTTCATCACTGACAATATACTTTCAAAACAGTTGCCTCAGCGCATTCTCATATTGCCATGTCGACGACGAGATAGAAAGGAGTTTTTTGTTAAGCTTGAGCTTTCTGCCCCCTTTTTTGCAAATATCCTCTCTCTCTCTCTCTCTCTCTCTCTCTCTCTCTCTCTCTCTCTCTCTCTCTCTCTCTCTCTCTCTCTCTCTCTCTCTCTCTCTCTCTCTCTCTCTCTCTCTACCCCGACTACATGCCCGCCATGTCCGCAAAAAAGCTACTCAAAATCTGGTTCTCTGTTCCTGATCGCTAATAAATTTTTTGTCTAGTTTTCAATGCTACTAAATTTTGTTTGTTTGCCTCTCAGCATTGTTATCACTTTTGAGCATAAGTTATGTGTGGTATGTTCACAAATGTTCTTATTTTTCTCTCAAATTTTTGTTGTTTATTCTAGATGACGTACCAAAATCATTTTTTGCCACCAGTATCTGACGATAGTACGGCTGCAAATGGACATGTTAACACGCACTCACGAAAGAAGGTGACGTTCAGTATTGACAGCACCCTTTGTCCAGCTAAGGAGACCAATTTGCAACAGAAACTTCAGAAGTTTGTAAAAAGAGTTCTAAACCATCGTTGGAAAGAACCAACAGACAGAAGACTGCATTTGAAGAAAAAAAGAAGAGAAAGCAATGAAGGAAAAGAAAGAAGTAAGAAAAGAATAAAAAGAAAAGTAAAATAGAGTTAAGAAGAAGAAAGGCTATTATAATCGAGGTCAAACCACTCCTCATGATGATTTACATGACTGGCATGATTTTATGATCGTTCTTGCTGATTTAAATAAGCTTTATTTTGGGATTTTTGCCATGATTTTTGTATCGTATTTTTCTTGCGACTTGACATTATTTGAATGATTTTATAATCGTTGGATATTTTAAAATGATTTAAATGATTTCATATGACTTTAATGACTTTAATGACTTTTTAGAGATTTCGTTGTAATCTTAGAGGTTCTACTGTGATTCTGCATGATTCTATAATTATTTGTTTTTCTGGGATGATTTAAACAATGTTTGTGATTTTTTTGTAATTTTGATGATATGGTTGGGATTATTTTTATAATTTGAATTTTTGTTGTTGATGATTTTCTTGAAATTTATATTTTTTTGCAATTTCTGTGATTCTTTGTGATCCTTTGGACTTTTTTCGGCGGTTAATTGAATTCAATTCCTTTGACCATTTCTAGAAGACTCTGTCTCGCTTTTTCCCCATCATTATCGAATTACTTTTTTAATTTCAATTGAGTAGAATGAGGGCTGAGTTGAGTTTCAACGATATAGTTCAGGTGCTTATGTCCTACTTTCCCACCTATTTTCAAGGGCATCGCCAACCAGGGGAGTAGAGAGGGGGTACGGGGCGCTGTATTCCCCGAAACTTTGTCCGTCGCCACAAAAAGGATTTTTGCTGGGCAAAGGAAAAACTTTTTCACCATGTAGTATAATTGTAACCTTTTCAAAAGCTCCCGCAAAATCAAAGCTTCTCAGGCTTCATACCTTTGCAGTGGAATGGCAATGGAAGTGCTTGCGAGATCAGGTATGTTTATTGCAATGTCGTATATTTGCTAATTGTTTCTGGAGCTTTGCTGCTTTACCCATCCGTTTTTATTCTTTACAATCAAATATTTAGGCATATGCCATATAATATCTTCTGTCACAGACATACAAATTGTGGCTGTCTGTCTTCTTGTTTTTTCAAACATTTTTACACCAAGAATGCCTAGCATCTAAATTAATTCAAACTTTAGAATTCAAAACAGTGTTGTTAAAATCACACGTCAAAACTTGTGGGGGAGGAATTTTCCAGCTACAGACAGTGAAAAATTGTGTAATATTTTCAAATGCCAGTGACATTTTTCTGTCATGAAATTTATCTTCGGTTCTCATGCCAACCTGAAAAATAAAGTGATAGATTTTAACGTGATTTTTGAGTTCTAGGTTTCAAAATACCCCTAATTTTTTCAATTTTTTCCGATTCAACTCATTTCTTATAGCAATCTTCTTAAAAATTGTAAAATACATAGAGCTGGGGTTTGACTTTCGTTTTGCATCGATAAATGTTTTCATGATGCTATTTAAATTTGATTTAAATTAAATGTCTCATTGGCAATTTCAGCAGCATTATTGATAAAATGCTTTTTTTAAAAACTCAACGATTACTACAATTATAGATCCACAATTTTAAGTTACAACTCCACCAAGTGAATCAGTTCCACGCTTACTTTAGGCCCTGCCTTTGATTGAACACGTCTGATAATGACCGAGAAGAAAATTTATATCCAGGTCTGGCTCGAGCGTTCCATTGGTTCTTTTACACCAATCAACGACCAAAACCTCTATCCTTTTTGATGAGTTAAAAAAGGAGAAAATTAACTCTTTTTGTCTACACAATTAGGGGGCTTTTTGACGTAAATTGATTCCAAAACTCCTAAATGTAGAGACAATCTTGCTTGCACACTTGCTTTGAAGTTGGCGTCACTATCTGTTTTGACACACTCATTTATTTGTGAGCAAATGTTGACCAATTGCTGAATCATCCCCCCCCCCAAGTACTCGGCAGGATCAATTTTGTATTTCGTCTAAATTCGATGAGAAAATGTTGGGGGAGGGGCAATATTTTGGCAACGTACTTTTACTGATGAAATCCTATTATTTTCAATCTGAGTTTACGTCACCAAAAGCTAGTCATGGGCGTTCTCTCCGAGTAAACTTGGCGCAAGGGCGTGGACTTTTGCTTTGTCCTCCCAGATCTTATTGGCTTGCGCCGCCATTGAATTAGACCACCATTCAGGCTCATTAAACTCTCTTTTTCAGTTTTAGTCGCGGTACTTGTTACAACAAACATAGAGCGCAAAACCATCTTCTCTTCTTGATTCTGATGAAAGTGAAAAATCTCACTCGAGCTTTAGTTAGGCTCAGGCAAAATAGATATATGTTGGGTGAATTTCTGGGCATCATGCTGGGTCGATTGGAAATCTCTGTGTTTGTGTGTCAAGTATTTGAGTAAAAATTGTTGGACGAATCCTGAGTAAAATGTCGGATCGTTGGAATTGAGTCATTCGTCACAAAGATGTTGAACTCAGCACTTCTCTTGTACAGGGCACTTCCTTTGTCCGGAAACGAAGGAAACTTTTTTTTACCTTCAACAGAAAAAGAGTCATAAGCAATGGAGGAAACTTGAAGTATTATTAATGTTGCTAGCAGACTGTGGGATTGGGGAATAATCAGGAGATCTTGACTCTTCCCGTGAAAGTAAGCAAAAACAGTTCTTGCCTAGATAAAGATTAGCCAAAACTTCAATTGCCCTACGTTTGATCCTTTTTAATACTTCAAAATTCTATAAAGATTGACTCTCGATCATTTTGCAACTTGCCAAATGCAAAAGATATCTGTTGACCCTAGCTATTTACATTTTGCCATAACTTCATCGCCGCACACGGCCGAGCTATTTCTGTTGCTTAACTCAGTCATTATTCCTTGGTATGATTTCAAACAAAAAGATTTACCTGCAATGCACTTATTCAGTGATTTTTTATGAGTTTCCAGTGCCGTCGGAACAAAATTCATAAACGGGAGGGTGGAGGGCGCTGCCCATTTTATTGCTTCCCATTCATTACATAATTATAGAAGAAATATAGTACAATTTAGCAATTATTAGGGGGCTCCAGCCCCTTGCCCCCCACTTCCGACGGCCCTGATTTCTTTCAACTCTAGGATAATGATTATTCCTTTGGCATCCACCTGTCATTTTATAGTAAGAAGAAATTCTGTTTTCAGCATTTTATTTTTCAAGCCGAAATCATAATCGCGTTAAAATTGCACGACTCTGCCTATCCATTTGATAAATTTCCCTAAGAAACATAAAGTTCTGATATGCAAATATTGCTAAACCTTAATTTCATTCACAGTAGAAAACTGACGCAAAACCTACGAGTCTAAAAATCGCATAAAACTTCTTCATGCTAAAAAAGACGTTGGCCTAAGCTGATTTGTCCTCTTCTGGTACTTTTTCGTGTGCCAAAATTCCCAAAGGACCCTTTAAGCAATCCATTTGCACTGAGCGAAAAAACAGTTTTATTCAAACCATCGACAGTAGGGAACAGAATATGCTTGAAGCCGAAATCTAACCATGCTATCAGCGCGCTTGAGATTGTATTAGTTTACAGGTAGCAATGGCTAGGCCATTCAGTCATGCGAATGAACATTCGATTAAGCATGGACGGTGGCCTACCCTTGCGTACTAAACCTCATCAAGGAGTTATGCGTGTGCTCTTTAGCTGAGGTAATGCAGTTGCTGCGTCTTCAAGGTATCTCAAACGTAGCTTATTGCGGCTTCAAACTGTAGAGTAGTGGAACAGTTAATTTGCGTTTCTACAAATATTTCACAACGATTAAGAAGATATTTGTGGGTTTTCGACAAGAAAGGTAAGAATACTTATTGCTGTTACTGGAATTTGATTAATGTTCAGCAAGGCTGCAGATTTAGGCCGATATGAAACTCGTTATGCGACTTGCAACGATATGCTACAAGCCGCAATCATTGTCTGCCTAAGCTGAAATAGAAAACAGTTGTGTGATGCTGTGTAGAGGAATAGAGAACTCTATTTACCACCTAATATAAAATGATATCTAAATATAAATCGTTATATTTCTCTTTAAAAAACGAACCTATTAACTTTGCAATAAAATCTCTTTTAATTGCAAGTAAATTGAATTCAACGATGGTTTTTCAGAAGAAAAATCCGCCTAAATGCGCCTTTCAATGACGACATAAATCTGTCTCAGTATTATCCGTTTGCACATCAAAATAATTGCTTTTTTCGTTCTTGTTCATAGAAAATTGCTAAACAGACTAAGGAGAAAACCAAAAATACATTGAATGAAAATATCAGAAAAATTGGACTGCGTGTAGGTCATTGCGAAAGCTCACAGCTCGTATTTAGAAAAGCCAAAGAGAGTAGCTTTCCATTTTTTGCCCGCTTTTGGGACTCACCCCTTTGATTTGCTTTTCCAGGGAGATGGTCCTTGGGAAAACCTTGCAATTACTCTTTATCTTTCACAAATCTTTTTTAAAGACGTAGGAACAGGGGGCACCGGAGGCACGTACCCTCCCCCACTATTTGGAAAAATAGATTAAGTGCCTTTTTTGCAGCTCGTGGTAGTGCACCTTTTTCCGTAGATGTGCCCTCACTATTAAATTGCTTAATTCGACCATGGATGTTTTATTTATTTCGTTGTTTATTTGATCAAAGAAAAGGTATACTAATTACAAATGAACTGACAAGGCCCGTTCAGGCTAAAATAAATCTACCCATCTTTATCATTTCGAGTCTTCGTCAACTCTTAATATCAATTCAAAACTAGTCCTTCATTTGAAAGTGCGACTTCTAGACTCTCACGAAAAGAGCAACCTACATTTGTTACATTGTTGTCCTTTTCGTTTGCAGGAATGTAAAGGGAGAGATTCATCGAATCAAGATTGAAGATGGTCATATACAAGTTTAATGCCGTCTTTCTTATCCTTTTTGTTCAGCTTGTTCCTTTCTGCAATGGTACGTCGACATGATTTTTTTCAATATCGAACGGTTAGTGGAAAATAACAGAAAGGACCTCTTGGTCATAGGTAGAATCTGATGTCCTTAATGTCTGAAAGAGCTCGGTTGTCATTTCATCTAGCAGTTTTAGAAATTATTTACATAAATATGTAAAAATATGCTGTTGCGTAGAAGGAGTTCGTTTTTACTAGGTATAAATGCCCCTAATTTAGCAATATAGACCATTTTTCTGACGTTTTACACCCTGAAAGTTGCAAGAAGAAAAGCTTTAGTATGCCTAAAAAGTTTGCTTTTTCAAAGTCATTCTTAAATTTTGTATTAATAAAATAACTGTTTGCAAAGCTAGAATAGTCAAACTTGGACCTAAACAAGGCAGATATTGATCTCAAAACCACAGAAACCAGAAAAACACCTTGAAATACTCCAAAATTTGTGACCAATCAACTGAAGCCGTAAATTCGAGATGATGGAGGTGGTGGGCGCTTATTCGAGGTGGGGCGTGTATTTAATAGTTCTCCCGGTTGGTGGGCGCTTATTCAAGCGGCGTGCTTGTTCAAGGGGGTGTTTATTCGAGGATTTATGGTATAGCAAGTTAAAGCACTGGGTTTTGCTAATGGTTTACTGTAACCTTGGTTTGGTTCATAGATTTTGGAACCAAGACAGAATTGGAGCGATTGGGGATGAGCCTGTTTTATGGTGGCTCTATATCTTGATTCTCTTTACGTTTCTGCAATCCAAGTTAAAAACTTCTCAGAAAATGTTTTATGACGTCATCAATTTGATTATGCTCAAAAGAAGGAAAAATTTGTTTGATTCCTGTCAAATTTACTCCTTATAGGAAAGGTGTACCTAAAGAGGGAGAAGAGACAGCAGCAGTATGATGTAAACCCACTAAGCGACTTCTATGTTTCCGGTTCAGGCTCGGCTGCAGGGAGTGGCGTTGCATATAGCTCTGGCTTGTTCAATGGTGATTCTGGAAGCAATGAAGAATTAGCAGATTCGAGTGGAGAACTATTCAACGCAGAGTCAGATATCGATGACTCATTCGCTGAGATTCTCGGCGACAAAGGCAGCGGAACAGAGCCATTTGAAATCAGTGGTCTTGAGAAACCAAACGTAGCTACAAAATGGCTCACAAGAGTTTCCAATGTAACTGAAGTGTCGACCAATGAAAATGCGGACATCGTGAGAGGAATGAAAGATGGAGAATTGAAGATAAGTAAAAGGAGTTTGGCAAGCGAAAAACGAATGTCATTATTAGAAGAGTTCTTTAAGTTGATGGCTGCCCCTGAAGAAGTCATAGTTACCAAAAGAGAATCAAATGGTGAAGATGATAATTTGGAAAATGAAATCTTTGAGGGGGAATTCGGCATTCAAGAGAAGAGTCCAAGAGGAAAGGAGGATTCCAGCATTGAAAGGGGAAAGAGAAGTGGTTTGGCCAAAGAACGTGAGCTGAAAGTCAGGAAGAGAGATGCAGAGGACCTGGGTGATGAAACATTGCCTAATCTGTCATATTTAAAGGAGGAAAGCGATGGTAGCAAGGTTTTGACACTTGAAAATGACGAAAAGAGTGTAGAACTAGTAAAAAGGCACGTTATGGACGGTGACAATTCAGTGAGGTTTCTCAGAGAAATCAACACAGATGATTTATTCAGCCGCCATGAAGAAGAAATGCTAGAACGGATAACAAGAGGAAAACGAAGCAGCAACAAGTCTAGGCCAAACAAAAGAGGTTTCCTTGACGACACAGCGAAATCTGAAATGCAAAATTTTGAATTTCCAGTGATGAAACTGGTGACGTCAGACGCTGCTAGGCCTAAAAGAGCAAGTGAAGAAAATGTCATTGTTAAGCCTGAAAAGAAAGTTGGGGAGAGGTTTGATAAACGCGATGAGCACGAGAATTTAAAATCAGTACCTAATTTAGAGCCATCTAATTCTGAGAAGGATTTGAGGTACCTAACAGATCAGAAACATGAAATTGAAGCGGTATTTCTCAAAAGAAATAAAGAAAGGTTGCATCTTGATAAAAGGAGTGTGATATTGGATAAAGACATTGATGCTGATACATTCATGGCGAACATCGGCCGTCCAACAGCGGGGATAAAAGAGAAGCGTCATTTGAAAAACGAAGATATAATAACGGGGGTTGCATCGATGCTGGACAATAACGAAATGGCCGATTCTGTAGGGAGCCTTAGGCCACTGGAAAATGAATATCTAACTAATATAAAGAGGAGTGAAGTTGACAATATGAGTCGGCCATCTTTAAAAATCCCAAGTGATTTAGAAAAGCATAATATTAAGTTGTCAAAACGTCATGAAAAACCCACTTTAGCTGAAAACAGTGACCTTGGCAAAATAGAACGCCAACAAAAACACGAGGATGGTTCAAAAAGAGATTTCCACGATGAGAGTTTCATTGGAACATTCGCAAAGCCTACTCAAGTTTCTGGATTTTGGTCTGGATTGGGATCAAAACCAATATTTCTGGATACAACCAAAATGCAATCTTCTGATGAATCTGAATCTGGTTCAGGATTGAATGAAGATGGCAGCAAAGGATTGATAAAGGCAGCTGGCAATAAGAGTAAGCACAGTAAGAAATTGTTTCGTGGAAGGGCGAAGAAATCGAAAAAGAGATTTAGGCCCGAAGAAGCTGGGGAAATAATGGATGAAACTGACAGTAGGTTGAGAAACGTAAAAGTCGGTATACATCAGAAACATGGTAACGTTTTGAAGGATTCGAAGAAAAAAGAGAAAGAAAGGAGAAAGAGAATGGATAAAGAGGGCGAAAATGGGGATGTCAAGAATAAGATCTCCCAGTCTGTTCTTACATTTGATGAAATGCACGAAGTGGTGTCAAAAACTAGAAAAAGCAAAGCAAATTTACCAAAAAAGCTCAAAAAAGAAGAAAGCAGAAAAAAGAAAAATGACGGCGATGAAAATGATGATGATGATGATGATGATGATGATGAATCATCCGGTGATGACGAAGAGTCTGGAGACAAGGATTTAGCAAGTATCGTGAAATTAAACGATGAAGATGAAGTTGTTGTTAAAACGCTCTCAGCAACATACAAAGAAAACGAAATCATTGATAAAAGAAGTAGAATCATGGTAAAAAGAGCACCGGGGGATAACGGTAAGAGCGTGAATAAGATTTTGTTAAAATATCATGTAGGGACCATTTGCACAAAAAGTCAAGCTGGATCGAGCTTGCCCTGGTTAGAGTTTCAGTCCTGCTATTGGCAAGTTCTTTACTGTTGGTGCAGTAAGGAGCGTGCTAAGGTCTCAGCTAAGGTTAATATTTTGCCCCGAGATGGAATATGTTTTATTCGAATGAAACCACATTCGAATTTGGCACCATTTGTAAAAGACATAACGGCCGATTTCCAACCACGAATGGTGCTAACAATTATAGCAATTACAATTTTCTTAATCTAAAGTAAAGTAAAAAAAGAAAAGTACATAAACACAAAAATGTGTGATCGCCTCAGTGTAAGTGTTCATTTTATGTGACATCAACACAGCTATATCCATCCATATGAACTGAGAATTTAATCAACCCTGGACAGGTTGAGCCATTGGCACTGACCAACCAATGCGAACTAAAGAGCTGAAAATCGCCTTGTTTTTGTTATGGGCTAGCGAGACTTCTAGATACTTACAGGATGAAGTAATTACAAATCCATTCTTGAATACTTGAAACATAAGTGAAGATGATATTTATTTTGCTTTTAGGTTACGTTGGGTGTTATGTTGATGTTTTGCATCCAGTAAGAGATCTAGCTGTTCGAGCCGGCATACCATTTGTCACTATTAACAACTGCAGAAGTGCATGCAAGAGGACTGGATACTAGTACGTCATTTTCTTCTCTTCAAATATGTCGATTCAGGATGTAGCCACTGCATTGCTTAAAGAAAAAAAGACTGAGAAACGTCCAATCTAAAGCCAGAAAAAATTGCCTTTTTCGTCAAAACATTCCATAAACATATAAATTATTTGTCAGTTTTGAAGAAAATTTCTGAGCAGCTTTCTGTCATTGGGTTAATCAAAGGGTGAACTAAAATCTCAAAAGAAAACAATAATTAAAAAAAAACTAAGCTTTCTTGACATTCTTTTTTAAACTTCTTTTAAGTTGCTCAATTGGAATAAATGGCTCTAAAGAAGCTAATTTGGATCAATGAATCTACTCTTAAATTTGGAGAGATATAAAAAGAGCAACTATAATATGTTTATGGCTGTTTGCAAACATATAGGCCCTTAGATGAAGATTCCCCTCCTCATTGTGATTCCCCTATATTCTCCAAGGTGTATCAATTTATTAGTGAATTCTAGGTATAAAATCGTATTATTACAGAAGTTATGAAAATTGCTGTCACCGATTCAATGCCGTATAAGCAGAGCTGCTCACGCAACTTGTTATAGCAACAAAGAACCGTTCCGTTCCATATCCAAAACGTTAATACAGAAGTTATATCATTAGCGGGAATGTAGGTAGAAGAAACTTGAGAGTACCAAACAGGTCCCCTGATCCCCAAATTTCCACCACGTCTGATCTCCAATTCTCGAATATCAATCCCCCAATCCCAGTCTTTTCGATTCCCGTCTCCAAAAAGTCTCGATTCCCGCTTCCCAGAAAGTAGTCAAACTATAGATACGCAAGGTACTTTTTAAGAACAATTGTGAAATATAATTAAAAGCCATTGATCCTCTTCTAGTTATGCAGGCCTACAGTTTGGCTATCTTTGTTTCTGTGGCAACACATATGGAAAATATGACATGGCGCCCGATTCAGAGTGTAACTACGCATGTTCAGGAGATGCCAACCAAACATGTGGTGGCCTTTGGAGGAATTCCGTTTACTTTACTGGTATGTTTTGCACTCAGTATATCTTTCTCTTCTAAAAGCTAAAAATGATAGACAGTTATCAACTGCACGTACCAGTACACAACTACGGATGGCTAACGATGAAGTTGTTGTAGCACTGCTTGCTCCTTCGTCGCGTGCAATGAATATCAACCAGTACGCAATTTCTTATCGCTAGACAACTCTGTATGCAAGTTGGAGTATCCCTCGTCTGCGTACCACATTGCGCATCATTGGGGTAGGGACATGAGGTTGGGGATGAAAGAAAGAGGGGGATACTAAATGTTCTCATTATTCTTAAGAAGCAACGGTCAACAATGACTCAGTGGGTGGTTAAGTAATGGTTTTGAGATAATTGGGAAGACGAAGCCATTTTAGGCCTTCTAGTCTTCAAAACAGATCACACACCATCATAAAAGTTTTTACTAAAATCCATTGCAGAGACTACCAACAACTTCTCACCAGATCCCCGACTTTACAACATCAGAGAACAATTTGTTTTCTTTTGCTCCCTCTCATTCTGATATTCCTCTTTTTTTCTCTTGCACAATGAAAATTGGCGCTGAAGCCTCATTTGGTTTTGTCAACTTCTGAGAATGTATTTTAATAATACATTGCATATCTTATTTTCTAAGTTTCAAAGATGTTTTTCAGCCAGTTTGCCAGCCAGGTGCGATGTAAAGTGAAATTCGCTAATAAAGATAACTAAATTCACTAAAATTTCAAAATAATACTAAATTGAAGCAATGTTTTTTCCAGCTGGCGCTCCGCAAAAGTCAAACGAAGGACCCGTTCCATTTTACCTTCCACCAAAGGACCAAGGTACCGTTTGCTATTTTTGTTTACAAACATTTTTTAGCAAAATGTTGAGATGGCTTTGAAAAAAGCAAACATTTTACAACATGCTAAAATGTTGTGCTTTTGGACCCTTATGCTCACGTTTCATACTCTGAGGAGCGTTTAGGTACATTACTGTTGCTCTCTAAGGTATAGAGACTAATCAGGAAACTATCAGGAAACTTAAAACTTAGAATGTTTCCTTGTTTAATTAGCAAAAGCTTCATATAAAGTAAATTAGGGGCTGGGCATTTTTGGAGGTAGGTCTCTGGTGGTAAATAGGTGATGTGTTTCAGTGCAGATATTTTAGACACCGTTTGTGTTTCTGCTTAGGGCTCCGAGATTTGTACGAAACAAATACTCTAGAAACTAAGTTTGAAAAATCTTCTAGGTTAAAGAACGTAAATTTTTTTCCCGGGCAAAAGTATGGGGGTAGGTTTTTCTCCACAGCAACTGTGTTTTGGTTTGAAACATTCAAAAATCAAGCTCGAAATGGAGGCCGGTGATTGGCTAATGACATTTTGTAAACAAACCCGTTGATTGGTCTAGAACAAAATGTGCTCTTGTTATAGAGACTACCTAAATCTTTTTACCTAAATCTACCTACTTGAGCAAATGTTACTGGATTGAAAGTCGGTATACAGACGTTTACAAATTCTTAGATTCATTTAATTCAACTTGCCACGCAGCAAACTGCAGACTTGCCAATTTCTAATGTTGTGTGGCCTGTAATTAAATAAAAAAAACTTATAGCAAGTAGAAATCTCGTTTTTTAAGCAAATTATTCTGTCTTTGACCACAGAGAATAGCCCTGTGAAGGTTTTCAAAAACCGACAGAACCGTTTCAAATTGCCACGCTGGTCTATGCCATGAAATATGCAACAAATTCCTGTACTTATCCTTGGAGTTAACTAGGTGTTTTAGTTCCGGAGATGTACTTAAAAAATCACTTACTAAAATTTGTTTGGCTTTAAACATTTCTTAAACAGAAGAGCAGAACATTTCTATGAACTTGCAAGCGATCAACCGAGTAAAAGTGCTTGCACATTGATTTTATATCACGCAAAGCAGGAATTTTCAACTGGACCTTAGGCGACAAATCTTAAGTCCCATTTTAAACGTTTAAAACCTACAGAAATGCTTTGCCTATAGCCTTGCTAAAAAGCGCAGGCACATTCTTAAATTTAATAATATGAAGTGTACATTAAACTGACATTTACACGTTTTACTTCATTATCGAATTGTCATTTTTAGTTTTCTCTTATTCCAGTGTCGACAGTGAATTTCAAAAGGTCTGAAATCCCAGAACCTCAGGTTCAAAACGCATCTGCTCCGTCAAATGCATCTCTTATCCAGCCAATCAATGTAAACATATCAGGCCCAGCTTTGCAATCTCCTAGTGCTACGCAACCAAACCAAATCACTGCCTCCAGTTCAGATACAAGCAAACTACAAAACACCTCAAAGGAGGTTATGCAAGAACAACCAGAAAAGGTCGAGAACACTAGTGCAGAAACAGACGAGATAACGAAACCAGAAGGAGGCAAAAGAAAAGTTTTAATGCATTTTGCCTATCTGCATCCACAAAAGCACCACGAAGTGGCCCCAACTTTACCCCCGGCGCCAACGCCACCACTGAGAATCGAGCCTCAAAGTAATTTTACATTACTTTAATATGCTTGAAAAAATTGGTCTTTATTAACTAAAAAGTTAAATTTCCTTTGTAGTCTTTTTTAGTGAAATTTCTTTGCCAAAATTTGGTAAGTGGTAACAGCTAGAAAAGAGTCCATTATCATCATACACATAATTTACTGTGGCTCATTTTATCTGTTTATCATTTTTGCTGTTCAATCACAATTTACCAATATTTCAAATATAATGATTTGCAATTTTTCACTAGGCATCAAAGGGGAAAAATTTCGTTTAGATAAAATCCATTCTTTGCGGAGTGAATAAGCTTTGATGTAAAGTTAACATTCATAATTTTTTATAAATTAATCATCTCTTGCAGCTCGTGTATTTAAAGGTGAAATTAAACTGAAGCAAAAATGGTTTGACGAATTCAAAGACAAAATGAGCACAAAGTCGTTAATTTTAGCTGGAAATGTAGAGCAAGCAGTAAGTTTCAATGCTTTGATATTCGATCCCAACTTTCTGCCATTCTGCAATTATGACTTCCTCTGTAGAGCTGTCTTCCTTTCAATTTTTTGTCACAAATTGTTGCTACAAATTATTGTAGGCAATGTAAACGGTTATTAAGAAATGACTTAAATCCCTGAAAGCAAGATAAAAATTTTATCTTGCTGAAAGTAATGATGATGAATGTATCTTCTAGAAGAGCATTTTAGAATGGAATGAGTCACAATCTACCTTCGATGTAGGCTAAAGGTTGATAGGTTGAAGTTGAAAGGTCGCATAATGTTGACTTTAATGCTTAGCAAAGACAGCAAACCATGGAAGCAACTTTTTTAATGAAAGTAAAATATTTTGTACCCGAGCAAAAATTATATGTAGTAAATACGAAACACCACAACACGATGAGAATGAACAACAACAAACAAACATAAATCAGTTATGGCTATATTTCGCCCCCGCATATAGGGCCTCATCAGAGCAAAAAATGATATGTTTGGTACCAAAACCACCTTTTTACCGAAATCTTGGTTACTGTGAATCTGACGAGCATTATATAAGAATTTCAGAACGCAAATGACAAAAGAAAGTAACAAAATTGAACTTACAAAGATTCGGTGTAACGATGTAGAAATATACTAGGGTTAAATTATAAGGGTAAGAATCGTCACTGGGGTTGAATACAGTCGCATCCCAGATTATCCTTATCAGCCGTTTCTTGCGGTTCTCATTTTTATTCTTACAGACGACCAGTTTTAATTCCATTTTCCACGCAGTGAATTAATTTAGTTTATTCACGAGTAATAAATCCCCAAGATCTAAGTATCAGTGTGCACCCCTTTAAATGAAGCACAAAAGCACTTCTTTAAATGAAGCAGTACATTCCTTGATGAAGAAGTTATGAAAAGTCTTCTTACGCTTGATAATTCATTACAGTATTATCCACAACAGGTCATGTAAACCTAATGCTCTTACGTCACACACCAGATTTGTCTTCCATTCGAACTAATGATGCTCTTACAATACTAGCTGATTAATCCTATATACAGGGACGCCTGCACCAGCTTAGGGCAGGAGGGGCAGTGTTGGTGCCGAGGGCAAATTGTGGAATTTTTCTACTAACATAATCGAGTATTCCTAGGTGGGAGGGGGGCAAGGGTGGGGTAACATAACAAAATATCAACTTGAATATGTGCCACCCATACAGCTGGGGCTCTTACCATCAGAGATTCTAAACATAGAGAAAATGTTGATGAAATTATCCATACATAAAAAGGGTATTAAATGGCCTTGACACTTTGCACAATATTTGGTTTTCTAAAAATCATGGCTGTTATAAATGGGCTGGTTGTAAAATTTTGATTGCCCGCCAAGTTTTTATACCGATTTATCCTCCTTAGGTTTCTGGAGTACTTCGGAGGGAACACATCTTTTGTTTATCATCTATTATCCATTTCGCTCTGTCTCTCGTGGCCGACCCTGTCACAGACAAACTTTTCATTCTCTGCGTTTTTGTGCTGGTGTTATCATTTTTCTAATATTTTCTAATACATTAAATATTAACATAACGAGTGTAGTCAAAGTGGTCATCGATTATCGATAATATTCTATAGTATTTTCTTATATTTCAGGGCACTTCTTGCCCCCTCTGCCCCTCTTCGAAGAGGGCAGGAGGGGCACCTGCCCCTCCAGCTCCCCCTGTGTGGGCGTCCCTGCCTATATACAACATTTGCTGTTTATATCGTTAATGTTTTCCTGTTTATTTTTTAGCTAAAGAACATATATGCAAATAGCAGTTACCAGAAAGATTTCTTGAAGGCTGAGGTCCTATCATTCAGGTAAGAAATTAAAAGAAAAAAATGCAAAGTATAAGCAAAGGTTGTGCACACTTGTTGGGTTTATGGAAAAGCTACATTGTCTCGAGTTTGATCTTTCAACTTACATCTAAACATTACCTGATATCTCGGTATCGTTTGCCGTTTTTGCTATTTGTTTACAAGTTAATAATGCTTGCATGATCTTGAAACTGATTTGGTGTAAAGAGCAGATTTATTCTTAAGATGCAACTCTGAGTTTTCTTGAAGAAATATGCACTGAAACCAAACTGGACGTGATAAGATGGTGCATGATGAGTTTAAAGTTTTACAAGGTTGGAACCGTTGAAAATTTCAGCTAATTGCATAATTTGGAGGGTTGCATAAATTATCACCATGTTCTGGTGAAAACTGCAGACAGGATATTTATCAATATTGCACTTTCCATAAATGTGGCCGCGTGTGTGGACAGGGGCACAGTCTAAGCTCTGTTTGAAGAACGGTAAACAGTAATTTTGATTTATCTTGCCACTGAAATACCATCTGCGTTAATGCTATTTACTTAAAGGCGAACACAGTAAAGCAATTCATTACTTTCAACGCAAAGTTCAAATGCTCAGTTATCGGTTTCATCCATTTTACTATCTTAATTAATTTACAGGGAGGGCCTTATCAACAATAATCCATACACAGTGACCAGGGTGATTGCCGAATTCTCTTTGACTTTTGACCAAAATGCCATTTCGCCGGATGCCACATTATTCGCAAAAGTTCGGGCAACGAAGAAGCTTGATCAAATGCCCGTATACTCAAAGTCCCTCAAAGTTAGCGGTAAGTTTACATAAAATTATAAAATTATATCTATTTCGGCAAAATGGCTTTTTTATATTCTTTTTGGAAGCAATGAAACGCAAACGGTTTTCTTAACATTCAATCATTATAGCAGCTAAAAAGTAAAAATTGTGCAAAACAATGGATCACAACAGTATTTAGGGCCACCGACGAAGGGGAGGGGGCGAGGGGGCGAGGGGGCGAGGGGTGCTCAATTTTCCCTTGCCCCCCCACTTTTCACTGGCAATTACAACAATTTACAATTTTTGTTACATTGAAATTTAGTAACATTTGAATGGTAAAAACTTCTTAATAAAACTGATAGAGTTTGGTGACTGTTTATCGACAACTCTGGCCATGACTGTAGCATTTTAACTGATCGAATTTCAACTATTTTGGAATACAAATGTTCGATTTGAACGTTTCTCAAAAAGTTCTGTATTTTGCTTCAATTATCCCTCAAATTTTTAATTTAGAGCCCATTTCCATATAACTTGCACCGCAGTTGTAAAAACATTCGTTTGTTAACCATCCTTTTGATTGCATGAAATGATATGAGTTCGAATTAGACAGAAGTGACTGTATCACAATTGTTATATTTGATAGTAAAACTGCAGTGACTGAGAACACAAAGTATAACTAAGGCGTATCTGAAGCTTTTTCATTCGTCTCTAGAATACCGATTTGACCCGAACAGTCCAAACCAAGCATTCAAAATACCAATAAAAGAGCCAGCTGACAACAAAGATGTTGACGAAGAAGACCGCAAGAAGTCGAATATCGCGACCCCCGGGTCTCAGCTTCCCTCGGTCAATGACCCGCTCTTCACCTCAACCACGCAGGTGCAGGCAGCGGGAACTGGTAGTAATTCAAATGGAATGGAAGAATTACAAAAATATTTGGCAAGCGAGAACAGCCTTCCCCCTGTTTCGCAGGAACATACTAATCTGTTGAAGGCGGAGGAACAGGCACCAGTCAAAAATAGACAGGGGGGTTCGTCAATGTCAGGTAAATTCAAAGCTCGAAACAGCGCCCTGTCTAAAAGAAGTGATGTGCCTACCCTGGAAGGAGGTCAAAAAAGTATGTTTTCTCAAATTAAAACACGTTTGTAACTGTAAATATAGGATGCAATGAAATTTACCACTAAAAGTGAATGAAAATGTGTTACCTACAAGAATATCATTAAAACAAATGAATTAATATCCCAAACTTGTTTGTTGAGTGAGGCAGAGGCTGCATGGTATGAGTACGAGGTTAAAAGGTAAATTTTCTCAAATGCAGTGTATTGCTCCTTGCAGTAAAATTCTAACTTATAAATTGTTTCAATCTAAAACCTTTTATGTCCTATTTTCAGAATTGCCTTACATATTGCGGCTGTTCTTCTGGAAGGATATGCTGGCGAGGAGGAAACGAAATTCTACACCAGAGAAGAAAATTCAGCCACTTCAACGGAGAAAACGAGAGGACGATGAAGATGAAGGGGTTTTACAAGTAGATCTTGAAAAAAGAGAGAAAAAGACTGATCTAAAACTTAGTAAAAGGTTTGAAGATACACAAACCCCATTGACTGAGGAGAGCTCGTTTGAGAGGCGGTTTATGAAAAAAACGAAACGAAAAACAAAGGATCTAACCACTGAAAAGGAACTAAGACGTTCAAAAAGGCGAGATAAATTGGAAGATTTTGACTAAGAAATGAGATGTACTAGCGAAGTTTTATTGCAAAAATCATAAAACTGATAGATATCAGAATGGCTAGCTAATGGTATGAGGCAAGTGAGACTATCAAAGAGTCAATGTTGTCGGTAAAGATATGTTTTTCAAGAAGACAAAAGTGTTACATTGCTCAATATTATGACAGGCAAAGAGGTACTGCGAATGGTACACCGACTCATGCATTGGATGTTTGAGAAACAAAAAATCCGGTAAGATTAGATTGTTGTTGTATAAGAACCTGCCTTCAGGTATAGAAAAAGTTCAACCGGGAGAAATTGTCGTTAGAAAAGGATCGTGGCAGACCGGTAAATTGAAACCAGCCTAATGGCAAATAAATATTAAATGTCTTGTCCGCATACTTCCACTTCAGCTGGCTTAGAAGCCTTTGTTAAACCTCGCGGTCTCGGTTTTGAAGAGGTGGCCCCTACTGGCGCGAGGACAATGCCAACTGCATAACGTGATAGCCAAAATATAGCAGTTTCTTGTGAAGGCAGTGGAGTGGTGACCAGGGGTGTGAGTTGGAAGCCAGCGGGCATTCTTTAGAAGCAGCAAGATTTTTCGGAAAATTCCGGTAAGAACAGGTTTATACAAATAATAAACTGTTGTTTAAGCAAAATTTGTCGAAAATTGGTTTCTTTTGCCCCCTTGAAATTCGACTGCCACGAAGCATCACAACTGAATGTACTTTTGTGCCTTATCAAAAGTAATAATCAATTTAAGATATTGATAGTGGCAAAGCTCATATTTTGAGAGTTAAATACAAGTAGTAAATTGAAAACATTATTAGCATACTAAAATAGCCAGAGCTAAATGTTTAATTTTTGTAATAAAAGAAGAAGTAAGTCTTGGTTAAAATATTGTTAAACTACGATTAGTATAATTAAAATTGGGCTTAATGGAAATCATCTAAGTTTAATCCTGTAACAAGCGTTAAAATATTTTTGAATGAACTATAAATGATAAAGTTTGAGTTTACAATTTGTAAATATTTGAGTAAATAGTAATTTTTGTATATTTATGTGGAATTAACATTGTCTGTAGTTAATTTAAAGTCGGTGATTAAGTAATTTGAGATTTGGTAATGATGTAATCAACATTAATAACCAAAATAAAGAAACTTGAAAAGACACCAATTTGTGTTTTATTCTCACGACCAATGTCGCTTAAAAAGTAAATTTATCTCTTCACGAAATAACCTCATAGTTTTCTGTCATCGATTTAACTCACTCTGCTGGAAAATATTGTGCACGACACATCTATTGGAGAGAATGGCAAAAGTATGAGAAACTAGTGTTTTTATTTAATGGAAAAAGGGAAGAGTATTAGACTAATTGTGATACATAATAAAGATCTTTGGTTATCTGATAATAAAGAGCTTTTACATTACATTGGTCACCAGTATCGTATATCAAGGAAAGAAAATCCTTGCGAAGGCAATCATAATTAAGGAACTTAACTTATCAAAATTAACAGTCAGTCATAATTAAACAACTGTATAATGGTAAAATTGGAAATTTCAAAAAAGACAACAGTGGAACAAAAATTACTTTTATCATCCAACCAAGTCGTTTGAAAATGAAAATCAAAGTCAGTTGCATAGTACATTCAAACCAGGAATTAAAAAGAATTTTATACATAAAATTTCACACAAATGGAATTTTTCGACAAATTTTCATCTAAAATTTGATATTCGGAGAAAGATGTTATAGTTGCAAAAGGGGGCGGGGCTTAGGAGGTTTCCTGAAACAAAGCATTGTGGGAATCGGATGTTGTGTTGTAGAAGAGATCTTGTAAGTTGGCTTTTGTACTGGTTGTAAAAGAGACTGAGATATTAGCGAGGCTTTTTGTCACCGACAGGTGGTTATAAAACACGATGGGCGTTGTTTGTTAAATACGGCATGGGAAGTGAGACTTTGAGATTGAGAATCACCCATCAAAACTTAGCCACGAAATTTAGGCTTTAGGGAACACTGTCATTCTCAAGCACGTCAACTTTATGATTATCTGTTGACGAATCCAGCGTGACGGCGACCTCACAGTGACGTCATGAATACAGACCTTTCACTAAAACTTCATTTCATCAGAGAATGAAATTGTAACACACGCATTTTCTTTCTCTTCTAATACTTTTACATTGGCAGGACGTTTAAAGTCGTCTAGGTCTGTAACCACACATGAGCCTACTGAGATTGGAGGAAAAATGAGTTGAAAAAAAAGAAAAAAAGCTCAAGGCGTTGGGTGTTCCAAGAGGTTTTGGTATGTATTGAGAAAGATAGCAGGTGAATTCCATCTACGAGCGTAAACATAAATATAATGGGTCTACTCAAAACTCTAAGCTCAGGTAACAAAGTTATCCATGTCTCCTTCTGTTTAGGTCATCGAGCTAGCTTGCCAAAGCGAGGCTACACATGCAGAACGAGTTTTTACTCAGGAGCAACAGTTCACGACCGTCTTTGTGCCATCGTAGACCAGTGATGTTGAATGTTTCTGCAAAGATAAATCGGGCATTGAATATGCTTCAATTTAAAAAGTTTACAGGTCTGATTTATGATTTGAAATCTCTATACAAAGGATTGGCAAAAGTCTAGAAAATCATAAACAATTACTTTCCATCATTAATAACAAGAATATAAACGAATAATTATCGAGTCCTCAATGGGCTAGATATCGGAATTGACCCTGTTCTTAGCTGAAAATTGTCTATACCTTCAGAGGTAAGTGGCAAATGGAGAGAGCACTTTTGACTCAAGTTCTGAGGGTTGCAGGTTTGTATCCAGGCTTCATATAGAAGAAAATGTATGCCCAGTGGTAACATTTAAAAGCCTCAATGCAATGGTGACAGAAACTGGTCATTTTGTCGCATCATGCTCTTACCACAGGACAAGTGCTCCCCTCAATAGGCAGTCCCCCTACCTACGAGTGTATATGAGCCCCATCCTTTTGGTTTGACACCATATGAATGTAAACAAGTTGCGTAAGTGCATCAAAATTCGGTATGAACATATGCCTGCTAGGCTGATGCAGAGACAGAAGAGTTTTCTAAAAGAAGCATCCCTTCTTAACTATTAAAGAATTTTTGCAGTTTGTAGAAGACGATCACGAAAATCTTTACAGTACTATGCAAAGATAGGAATTGTTTACATACATTTTTTAAAAAGGAATGATCAGGCCTATGTTGTGCTATTCAGATCACTTTAAATAAGTCCCATTTCTTATGCAGCTCATGAAATCTTGTCACATTACGAGTGCAATGGTAAATGCGTAAATTTGTCAAGATGACTCAAACCTGACCTCTACGCATGCCCCTTCCTGGGGGATTCCAAGTCCCATTTGCCGTTAAAGTGGGTGAGCCATCCTTTACTTGCCGACAAGTTTAGAACTTTGCCGACTAAGCGCCCCTAAATGGCAAAACGCTTCGTTTTCGCAATGGAATTTTCAAAAGGGAGGGTTACACCCTACACGCCCTCCTTTAGCAACCGACGGGCCTGTCTCTTCACTCGTTAGCTCTCTCAAGCTAAGTATAATCCCTAATCCCTTACACGTGTGTGAGAAGAGATCCTTACCTTCCATGGGAACATCAACAGACAGGCATCCTGCAGGTGACCACATATACAGTTTATTTGTACCGCAGCAAATGGCCAAGCGAGTTTCTTTTGGGTCCCACTCCATGGCTGTAACGAACCAATAAGGACAAATTGTCTAGCGGTTTATTTAATTACCTTGATTTAAAGTTAAAAAATATGAACTATGTTGCCCTTGTTGGGTGACATTGGGGAGAAACTGCGAATAACAACCTAGGTTAATGGGTGGCAATGCTGGGGGGGGGGGAGGGGCATTAAACAGAAAAGGATATTAAAAAGAGAGAGCGCTCAAACACTTTTAAAATAAGGGCATCACCATTTTAATTTTCATCGGTTGAAAGTATATAAGTTTAAAGAAAGTATTGGCTTCGTATGACGTTACAATCAATTGGGATTAATCTTATTGGAATAAGGTAAACATCAGAGGGCGTCTGCATGAGAAGCTGAAAACATTTGTGGTTTACGCCGAGCACAACAACGTTTTCTAAGAAAATTTCATGATGCATTAGTTGGGAAAGACAAAGTAATATAATCAAGAAAAAAGGCATTACATTGTATATTTTGGCTTTGTACAAGGACAGTAGACAAAGATAATTTTTTCACATCCCATATCCATACAACAGTAGGCATGTTATCTACAAAGGAAAGTATTGGATTAAGTACAGTAATGAAAATTTACGGATAATATGGGCAACGAAGCACAATTCGAAAACATGCTACAGGGAAACTTCTAAACAGTAGAAATGCATGGGGCTAGGATGGTGTCTGTTGTAGGGAGGTGTCCCTGGCAGGGAGGTGTCCGTGGCAGCAGATGTCCATTGTAGGGAAACGTCCGTTGTAGGGAGTATTAGTAGGGAGGGAGTAGTTGTAGGGAAACGTCTGTTGTATGGGGGTATCCGTTGTATTGAGGTGTTGGTAGCAGGGAGGTGTCCGTGGCAGGGAGGTGTCCATTGTAGGGAAACGTCTGTTGTATGGGGGTATCCGTTGTATTGAGGTGTTGGTAGCAGGGAGGTGTCCGTGGCAGGGAGGTGTCCATTGTAGGGAAACGTCTGTTGTATGGGGGTATCCGCCGAAAGGAGGTGTCCGTTTTAGGAAGGGTCTATGGTAGGGAGGTGTCAGTTGCATGTAGGAGCTGAATTTTACATTGTCCGGAGGTCACTTTCACATTGTAAGACTTTCACTACAGAAAAGAAACTTAGGAATAAAATAAGGAATGCTATAGGTGTTCTTTAGCGAGGACATCGGTATACGTAGCATTCCGCATATGCCGAATATCAAAATATAGGAAACAGTTTTAGAAAGACAGAACATCAGATGTTAGAGATGCAACAAACCGTTCCTGCTGGCGATATATCGATTATCATGGCTGAAGACAACTTTCCCAACTCCAATCTTTGGATTCGCTTTCTCTGGATCTGCTCTTACAGTTGGCACAGAAAAGGGAATTTGTTGAATTTGATCTGGGGACGAAAGACAAGAGATATCATTGCCCGTATAAACTGAGTTTAAACACGGTGTATTGTGCACGGCAAAGGAAACAAGTAGGCACAATCATAAATAGGCCATGAATTGAAAAAAAATTAACAATCGGGGGTTGGGGGAAGGTGGAAGGATGGGAGCTACAGGAAGAACGAGAGATCTATCATTTCGCATTAAAGACTTTGTTAGGAACATAAAACAGCACAGTTAAGGCTGCAATGGGCGAAATTGTTTTATGCGATGATTTAAAGAAATTGAATTTTCCAATTCCAGTTACCAGTTGCAAGCTCTTTTAGGAGGTGGGTCGTTGTGATTTTCTTAAGCTTTTACCAGTTTCTTGCCTCGCTTTCGAAGGCTTTTACTAACTACAAATTTGTGCGCATTACCCAACGGTTTTGCAATATGAGTTGGAAATCTCAAAGTGGTAACATATAGGTTTTGGTGAAACTGTTTTTCAACTCTGCCTGGTATGTTGGGCAAACATTGACGAAGATTCACTCACACTGGCTTGGAGATGACAATGGGCCTTTCGCTTGTGCTTCCCATGGCAGTTTCACTTGCTTCATCTGCACTTCTTTGTATATCACCTTGATTTTAGAAGATATTGCTTAAACATCTAAACATTAAACAAGCAGCATTTCATGTCCCTTCTTACTGACAGTGATCACCTTACAGGAAAAGCAACTTCCATTCTCACGAAACTCTTTAAGAAATAACTTGCACTTTTAACAAATAAACAAATATCCAATTTTCACAAAAATAATAAATGAATACCAGTGGGGTAGAATAAATACACTTTTAGGCAGAAAAATACTACTCATTATAAAATTCAAGATTTCGATTTACACCATTCAAGAATATTCATTACGTTAAAAGGATTTATATAGCATACTAAAAGATAAAATGTTTATTTGAATTAAATCAATATGCAACCGTGTTTAAAGAAATAAAGATGAGGGAATGAATGAATGAATAAATGAATGAATGAATGAATGAATGAATGAATGAATGAATGAATGAATGAATGAATGAATGAATGAATGAATGAATGAATAAATGAATGAATGAAT